TATATATTAGTTAATATTAGTTATGTGTTGTGATATATAAGTTTTTTTAAATAAAACTTATCCCTTTTCCTTCTTCGCAATGTTGAGATAATCGGGTTTTGATTTGAGTGAAGGGTGGAGGGGTGTACGTGACCGATACAACATTGAACTGGGTGTGTGTTTGTGTGTGTGTGTGTGTGTGGATGGGGGGGGGGGGGGGGGGGGGGGGGGGGAGTAACTGGAGATCGATTTATTGAAAGGTTAAAAGTAGTGTAGAATAATCATGGAAGTCTGTGGGCCAATGAAAATAGAACTTGAGAAGTTGGGTAGACTGTTTAGTCCATCTTTTCTCACTCATAACTCATGTTCAGTCAAGTCGGTTATTCCGACTTGGTAGGGACAAGTGGAGTGGCAAGCCGGTAGAGGAAAACTACTTGTGAGAGCAAAAGGTTTTTTTAAGGAGGAGATCAGTATAGACTACGGCGAAACATACTTTGAGTGCCGATGAACGAATGACGTGGCTTCACTTTTTCAGATCCACCGAAAGTGCTTAGGTCCTTGTCTACCAATAGTACACAATGGACATCATACACTGATCCAAATCCAGTGCAAATAAGGTGTGCATTCAATGGCTACCCTGTGCCCAGCATTGAAATATCCAAAGACAACAAGCTAATCACCAAAGGTGTCACTCGACGGTCTGGTTCCTTGACGTATAAGTTCCAGGCCAAAACAATAGATGACTATGGATTTTACGCTTGTAGAGGAACTAACAGCCAAGGAGACGATACTTACTACGTGGAAGTCTCAAAAACAGGTAACGGTTTGTTGAGACATGTTGAGATAATTAACAACATGCTCTCTAGCCTGCGTGCAGCCCGACTTTAATAGAAGGTTATTTGAAGGACCAGACAAGTGCGTCGTTGAATTGTTTGAGGGTAGCGCATAATGCAACTTCGTCTTCTTTGTTGCAGACAAATTGTGTAAAAAAAGTAACTCGTTAAAACTTTTTAAGTTTGTATTATCAAAGTCAGGACACGGCTAACACACAGATCGAATCGGAGTTAAATTAGCGTGTTACGTTTTGCGATAACGTAATGTCTTTTGTTTAGGTCTTCCAGACCCCCCAGGAAACATCACGCTCTGGGTTGGCTGTGATTATATAACAGTAAAATGGATTCCACCGTTAACTGACAGGGGAAGCCCCATTACCTCATACAGAATCGAGTTACTACATAATGGTGATACAATAAGAGGAGACATCCTTTCTTCCAGTGAGAGAGAAAAGACATTCTTTCAGTTAGAGAAGGTGACCAGCTATAGGGTGAGGATAAATGCCAAGAATGATATGGGAAATGGAACACGGGAAACACATGCATTCGAAACGAAAGCTACATGTAAGTATTCTAACTTTATATTTCACTTGCGGAGAGGACATCTGCTTTAAAAAGACTGAAATGCTATTTTTTAAGAAAAGCTCAATCAAAACAATCTCTCGAAGTAAAACTCATCAAAGTTTGGCCTTTTCACCTCTTCATTTTCAGGTACTTCCGGTAAAACTAACGCAGCGAGCATGACTCTACTAATTCTTGCCATGGTATTATCTATGATTATAGAAACATCATCTGTATAATCAAAATCAGTACATTCCTTTTCTTTATACTACACAACGCTTTCCTATCAATCCTACCATCATAGTACAACTCGATCTATTTCAGATTATTGCTAGCTAGGCTAAAAATAACTTGCACGCTGATTGAAAAGGTCTCTGTGTAGCTGGACAAGCATGATGGCCACTCATGATGTAACTCAGTTCTCAAAATAACCACCTAAGTTAACTGATCGTATTTCATCAGTGTTACACTTAGATCTTAAACAAGGTTGCTGTGCACGTGTCTCAGTTCAAACAGTTGTTCTGTCCTCTACAAAAGTTAAAGTTTTATTGTAGATTATCAAGATAAATGGGATTCCACAAACAAGGACCTATAAAAATGTCAATAATGTTAATTTTAAATAGAGTGCACGCCATATATCCGTGAAACAAAACCAAAGTCCAGCTCCACAAAATGCTGTGGCACCTAATAATCAGTTAAATCAGTTTGATTACAATAATGCAGATATTGATGAACAGCAACTGCCAATTAAATTAAATATAAAATTAAGATAGTGCATCAACAGATTAAAGATTATATAACAATGGATGCAATCAAACTGATTGTGTAGGTGCAGATGAAGGACGGGGTGATTTTAAGGGGTACTGAGCGTACTATAAATACCCCTCACAACTGTTTTAAAATTACAGATCCCAAGTTGAACCTAATGAAATCCTAAATATTGAGCGGCATTTCTTTGTTATTCTTTTTGCTTCGGATTATGCGTTATTTATTGTTGTTGGACCCCACATTGAACGAAATAAGCCGGCCCGGTTCCAAGGTCAACGATTTTAAGTCGTAGCAAAAAATTGCTCATTATCTAACTAGGATTTTATGAGGTTTAACTCAGGATGTGTGGAAATAATACCAGTTTCTAAAGAGAAGGATCACGGAGCTGTGGTATTGAGTAGGGGATTTTGGAGGCAAAGGATGGATTATAAAACTTGATCTTCTTGACCCGGGAGGGGGGGGGGGGGGG